CTTGAATAGCTCCCAATTTAGAGCTATTATGAGTAATACTGCTATATTGGGTATATTCCTAGTATTGGATTGTGGGGTCATAGGGTTTGCATATGTTCAGCTTTAGTAAAGTTAGTAGACTAGGCTAAACAGTTCTCCAAACTGCTTACTTGTACCATCTGGTCCTGCCAGAATCTGCCCTGGTCTCTGCCTCTCCTCTGTCTGCTGTGTCTAACCAACTTCCAGTCCCAGACACTGTCCGTGGTCCTAGCCCTGACCTTGGTCCTGTCCATAGTTCCAGTTTTAATGCTACTCCTGGGCTTAAATTTGACTTTTTTATCCATCCAGATAGTCAATAAGTATTTACTGAGCACCTAGTATGTGTCAGATGCAAGGAAACAGCAGCTAAGAAAAAAACAGGTACCATGCCTGCCCTTGTGAACCTTACAGTCTAGTAGGTAAGGCTGAAAGTAGACAATAAAGTAATAAAATAATATCATGTATTTATTTAAATATGATTGTAAATTGTTATAAATGCTACAAGTGAGACTTCCTTGGTGCTGTAATATCACATGATAGAGAGACCTGTCCTGGTCAGGAAAGCTTCCCTGAGGAAGTGATTTAAGGTTGAGATTGGAAGGATGAGGAGACCAAGAGAGAAGGGAAGAGTCTTCCTCATGGAGAGAACAGCACGTGCAAAGGTCTGGGGTTGAAGAGAGTAGGAAGGACCTAAGGAATGTCCATGGGGCTGGAGTAAAGGGAGGAAGAGAAACGTTATGGGAGATGAGGTGGGAGAGGCCCTCAGGGGCCAGATGATATCAGCAGGACTGTGTATAAGTGACCTAAAAGAATGTGGAAGGAAGACACTGAAGAGTTTTGAGGAGAGGGACATCCTAGCTGCCTTGGTGAGATTGCAGAAGCAAAGGTGGAAGCAGAGGGAAGAGCCAAGAGGTAACTGCAATAGTCAGGCAAGAGGTAGATGGTAGCTTATGATAGCAAGAGGGAAAGAAGGGAACTAGTTAGAGATGTTTATGAGAAAATGTCGGTAAATATGATGAAATATGGTGGCATTAAATGAGCTGTTAGGTTTCTAGCTTGTAAAACTAGACGAATGGTGGGGTCCTGAGCTGTGATGGGGAATTCTGGGTGGGCATGGAGTACAGGAAGATGATTATGAGTCCAGTTCCAGGCAAGTTGAATTTGAGGTGCCCAAAAGGAGATGCTAAGTAGGCAGGTGGATATATTACTGTGGAGTTAGGAGGAGATGTTGGGGCTGGTTTTACAGATTGGTGTATAGTTTAGAAATTAAAGTCATGAGTCTAGGTGAAGATGGGGGACTACAGCATTAGGACTTTACTGCACATTGCAGTCACTTAGGGAGCTTTTAAAAATGCTGAATAAGGGCTGGGCATGATGGCTCATGCCTGTAATCTTAGCACTTTGGGAGGCCATCATGGGAGGATCACTTCAGGCCAGGAATTCAAGACCAGCCTGGGCAACACAGTGAGACTCCATGTCCAAGAAACGTATGCTGAATAAAATTGGTTCCTCAGTCACATTTCAAGTGTTAAGAGCCACATATCCCACCTGGCTACCACATTGGATAGCATGGATACAGAACATTTTAAATGGAAGATGTGACTGTTTTGTGATTTTCAGAGAAGTCAAATAAGACGAAGACAAATGTCCCTTAGATTTTGTGACACTGAGGTCATTGGAAACCTTAGGGAGAGAGCTGTTTGGTGGGTTGAAGGGGGGTGGGAAAGCCAGGCTGAAGTGGATAGAGGCATGCACGGGCTATGGGGAAATGGAAACACCAAGTACAGATAAATCTTGACAACTGTGACCATACAGAAGAGAAATATGTGGTGGCTGAAGGGAATGTGAGATTGGAGAAGTGTTTTTCTTCCCCATCTAACTTTTATTCAGTGAAATGCATAAATCTTAAGTGTGCAGCCCAGTGAATTTTTGAATATGTATACATCTGTTTAACCACCACCCAAAGATTCAAAACATTTCTAGAATCTTCCCCGTGACTCATCTCAGTCAATACTACCCTAGAAGTAATCCTACCCTATCTCCTAAAAGCAAAAATTAACTCTGCCTGTTTTTGAGCATTATATAAATGGCATCCTTTTAGGGTGTTCTCTTTTTGCGCCTGGTTTATTTTATTTTGTTTAGAATTTTGTGCATGAAATTCATCCACATTGTTGCATATAACAATAGATTGTTTTTCATTACTATCTAGTAATCCGCCATGACTGCCACAATTTATTTATCCATTCTATTATCAAGGGGCACTTTAGTTGTTTTCAGTTTTGGTTAGTATGACTAAATCTCATAAACACTATTTATATGTCTTTTGGAGGATACATACAATCATTTCTGTTGGATATTTACCAAGAAGTGAAATTGCTGGGATATAAGTTATATGCTTTAGTAGATACTACCAGTTTTCCAAAGTGTTTGCATTAATTGATGCTGTTTACAACAGATGAGAGTTCCACTTGCTTTACATTCTTGCCAATATCAAGCAATGACAGCTCTTTTAATTTTAGCTATTCTGTAGAATATTTAGTGGCACCTCATTGTAGTTTTTTGTTTTTGTTTTTGTTTTTTTTTGAGTTGGAGTCTCACTCTGTCGCCCAGACTGGAGTGCAGTGGCACGCTCCCGGCCACCGCAGCCTTGACTTGCTGAGCTCCGGCGATCCTGCCTCCTCATTCTTCTGAGTAGCCGGAATTACAGGTGCATGCTACTACGCTCGGCTGATTTTTTTATTTATTGTAGAGATGAGGTCTCACCAAGTTGCCCAGGCGGGTCTCAAGCCTGCGGGCTCAGGCAATCCACTCACCTCAGCCTCCCAAAGGTGCGGGATTACAGGCTGAGCCACCGAGCCTGGCTGCATTGTGGTTTTAATGTGCATTTCCCGATGGTTAGTGATGTACACCTTTGCACTGTGCATTGGCCCTTTGGATATATTCTTTTCTGGAGTACCTGTTTAAGTATCACCAATTTTAAAAAATTGGTTTCCTGACTTGCTTGTTGTTTTGTTTTCTAGTTATTTATTTTAGATTTTAATCTTCTCTGAGTGGTGTGTGTGTGTATCTTACACATTTTCCCCCAGTCTGTGGCTTGTCTTTATATTCTCTTAATGAGGTCATTTGGTGATCAAAAGTTGTCAGTTATAATGAGGTCCAGTGTATCAATCTCTTTATTATGGTTAGGTTTTATGTGTATGTTCTGCTTAAGAAATATTTGTTTACTCCAAAGTCATAAAGATTTTCCCCTATTTTTTTCTTTTTTGTTATTCTTTGTCTTTATTGTTATGAAAGGTATTGCTTTATTTTACCTTCCAAATTTAGGCCCTCGGTCCATCTCAAATTAATTTCTATGTGTGGACATAAAGTAGAGATCGATTTATTTTTTATGTGGTTCTTCTAATTGACTCAGCACCATTGACTGAAAAGCCCATTCTTTCTCAAAGAAGCAGTGGCTGCTTTGTCATTAATCAGGTGACTACGTATGTGTGGGTCTGTTCTATTCTGTCCCATCTATCTATCTTTACACCTTTATAACAAGTCTTGATCTTTGATTTTGTAAGTCCTTAAGAGAGGGTTTTTGTTTTGTTTTGAGCTGGACTTTCACTCAGTTGCTCAGGCTGGAGTGCAGTGGCACACTCATGGCCACCACAGCCTTGATCTGCTAGGCTCAGGTGATCCTTCCACTTCAGCTTTCCAAGTAGCTGGAACTACAGGCATGCACCACCATGCCCAGCTAATTTTTATTTATTTATTTATTTATTTATTTATTTGAGTTGGAGTCTCACTCTGTCGCCCAGACTGGAGTGCAGTGGCCGCTCCCTGCCACCGCAGCCTCGACCTGCTGGGCTCTGGCAACCCTTCTGCCTCAGCCTTCCAAGTAGCTGGAATTACAGGCGTGCATTACCACGCCCAGCTAATTTTTTGATTTATTGTAAAGATGAGGTCTCGCCAAGTTGCCCAGGCAGGTCTCGAACCCATGGGCTCAGGCAATCCACTCACCTCAGCCTCCCAAGGCGTGGGATTACAGGCTGAACCACAAAGCACGGCTATTTATTTATTATAGAGATGAGGTCTTGCCAAGTTACCCAGGCTGGTCTCGAACCCGTGGGCTCAGGTAATCCTCTCACCTCAGCTTCCCAAAGTGCAGGGACTATAGGCGTGAGCCACCGTGCCCAGCCAAGGAGAGGGTTTTTTAAAAGTAGGAGATATTTGAGCTCAAATGAAAGCTGATGGGAAGGATCTGGTTGAGAGTGAGGGGTTAAAATAAAAGAGAAAGAGAAGGCAGTCTACACCTTAAGATATCTTAGAAGGTGGTAGGAACTGGGATCCAGGATTGGCAGGATTGGTCCTAGAAACTCCTCCACTAGTTCATTCAATATAGGTATGTTGGATAGCACACTTATCCAAAACATTTATGTGCCAAACATGGAAACAAAAGTGCCAGCAAAGATGAGGTCCCTGTTCTCATGGAGCTCCCCTCCTAGTAGTGGGAGAATCACAATTCAGGCAGCAGTAAATGCCGTGAAGAACATGAACAGGATATTATGATAGAGATTAATGGCAACTGTTCTGAGAAGTCTCTCAGAGTCAACAGCATGTGAATTAAGATTTGAACAAGAAGAAGCCAGTCTTTATGAGCTGAGTGAAGAGCATCCCAGACAGAGGGAACAATGCAAAGGCCCTTAAGCCAGTATGAATGTGTAGTGTTTGTGGGACAAACAACAGACCAGTGTGGGGGGAACACAGGTAATAAAAGAGCATGGTAGCCAAATGATATCAGACAGAGGTGGAGAACAGCTCTCCCTAGGGAGGGTAGCCTTTAGGGTTAGGCTAAATGTGGATTTTACATACATGTGAGTTGGTTAGATTAGTTGTGGGTGTGGGGCTGCGGGCATGTGTTGGAAAAAGGGAGGGTCCATTTTGTCTCCTTCTTTTTGAAGCTGCTCTCATACCTGCCCTCTCTTCCTGCAGCCTCCTGAATGATGCCAGTCCAGTGTCCTCTAACCTGCAGCCTGGCTATCCTGGTGCTGCTGGGCACAGCTGGAGCAGGCCCCTTCTCTTCACGGTCCAATGTGACACTGCCAGCACCACGACCTCCTCCCCAGCCAGGGGGCCAAACAATGGAGGCAGGAGGGGGAAGCCCCTCCTCTCAGCTTTATGAGCACACAGTGGAAGGAGGGGAGAAGCAGGTGGTATTCACCCACCGAATTAACCTACCCCCTTCCACTGGCTGTGGCTGTCCCCCAGGCACTGAGCCCCCTGTTCCTGCTTCAGAGGTGCAGGCCCTGAGGGTCCGGCTGGAGATCCTGGAGGAGCTAGTGAAGGGGCTCAAGGAACAGTGCACTGGGGGATGTTGTCCTACTGCTGCTCAGGCTGGCACAGGTGAGCAAGAGGTGATCACAGGAGAAGGCCACAAAAGAAGAGGAAGATGGGTTAGGATGGGGTGGGCAATGCTAGTTCATAAAGAACCTTGGTATGAATTAGAAAAAGGCACTCCTTCCTCACTCTTAGGGGTGTGTGGGTGCAGCCTAGATCACGACTTGGAGAGCGGATTTGGGCTTGATGTCAATCCAAGCATATACTAGGCTCCTGGGAGGACGCATATAATGCACGTATTAAGCAACCCGGAGCTAACATGGCCTTATGAAATGAGGCTGGTCCCAGAGGACCACTATATGGGCTCAACCTCTCTCCCCATAGACTGAAGCCTGCCATTCCTTCCTACTCCAGGTCAGACAGATGTGCGTAGTCTCTGCAGTCTCCATGGCGTATTTGATTTGAGCCGCTGCGCCTGTTCCTGCGAACCAGGCTGGGGGGGGCCCACCTGCTCGGACCCCACAGACACTGGGATGCTCCCCTCCTCCCAGCCCCCAGCCTCCGGGTCCTGCCCCGACGACTGCAATGATCAGGGTCGCTGTGTCCGCGGTCGCTGCGTGTGCTTCCCGGGCTACACCGGCCCCAGCTGTGGCTGGCCCTCCTGCCCCGGGGACTGCCAGGGCCGCGGACGCTGCGTGCAGGGCGTGTGCGTGTGCCGGGCCGGCTTCTCGGGCGCCGACTGCAGCCAGCGCTCCTGCCCTCGGGGCTGCAGCCAGAGGGGACGCTGCGAAGACGGACGCTGCGTGTGCGACCCCGGCTACACCGGCGAGGACTGTGGCGTGAGGAGCTGCCCTCGAGGTTGCAGTCAGAGGGGGCGCTGCGAGAATGGTCGCTGCGTGTGCAGTCCCGGCTACACGGGCGAGGACTGCGGAGTAAGGAGCTGCCCCCGGGGCTGCAGCCAGAGGGGGCGCTGCGAGGAAGGGCGCTGCGTCTGTGACCCCGGTTACACTGGCGAGGACTGCGGCGTGCGGAGCTGTCCCCGCGACTGCGGCGAGGGCGGGCGCTGCGTGGACGGCCGCTGCGTGTGCTGGCCGGGGTACGCGGGCGAGGACTGCAGCACGCGGACGTGTCCGCGCGACTGTTGGGGCCGGGGGCGCTGCGAGGACGGCGAATGCATCTGCGACGCGGGCTACAGCGGGGACGATTGCGGCGTTCGCAGCTGCCCCGGCAACTGCAACCAAAGGGGCCGCTGCGAGGACGGCCGCTGCGTGTGCTGGCCCGGGTACACGGGGTCTGACTGCGGCTCGCGCGCCTGCCCACGCGACTGTAGAGGCCGCGGGCGCTGCGAGAACGGCGTGTGTGTGTGCAACGCGGGCTACAGCGGCGAGGACTGTGGCGTGCGCAGCTGCCCCGGGGACTGTCGTGGCCGGGGCCGGTGCGAGAGCGGCCGCTGCGTGTGTTGGCCCGGGTACACAGGCCGAGACTGCGGCACGCTCGCCTGCCCTGGCGACTGTCGCGGGCGCGGGCGGTGCGTGGAAGGCCGCTGTGTGTGCAACCCGGGCTTCACCGGTGAGGACTGCGGGAGCCGTCGGTGTCCCGGAGACTGCCGTGGGCACGGCCGCTGTGAAGATGGCGTGTGCGTGTGCGACGCGGGCTACTCTGGCCAGGACTGCGGCGCACGCAGCTGCCCCGGGGGCTGCCGAGGCCGTGGCCAGTGCCTAGACGGGCGCTGCGTGTGCGACGACGGCTACTCTGGCGAGGACTGCAGCGTAAGGCGGTGCCCGCGCGACTGTAGCCAGCACGGTGTGTGCCAGGACGGAGCGTGCATCTGTTGGGAGGGCTACGCGGGCGAGGACTGCAGCATTCGCACCTGCCTCTCCAACTGCCACGGCCGTGGCCGCTGCGAGGATGGGCGCTGCGTGTGCGACCCAGGCTACACGGGTCCTGCCTGCGCCACCCGCACCTGCCCGGCTGACTGCCGGGGACGTGGGCGTTGTGTGCAAGGAGTGTGCAGGTGCTATGCGGGCTACAGCGGTGAGGACTGTGAGCAGGAAGAGCCTCCTGCCAGCGCCTGCCCTGGGGGCTGCGGCCCCCGGGAACTGTGTCGAGCTGGTCAGTGCGTATGTGTGGAAGGCTTCCAAGGCCCTGACTGTGCCATCCAGACGTGCCCAGGGGACTGCCGCGGCCGGGGAGAGTGTCGCGAGGGCAGTTGTGTCTGCCAAGACGGCTATGCTGGGGATGACTGTGGGGAAGGTGAGCAGGCAGTTTTCCCCAGTATGCTTGGTCAGGGACTGGGCTTCTGAGAACCAGTCACATGGAAGACCTGAGCCCGAGGTCTGAGGCAGAGGGGCCCAAGGACATGCAGGAAGAGTGAAGGGAAATCATGTATTGGTGGAAGCTGGGGGCGGGGGTTGTCAGAGAAGCCAGTCTACCAGGGGCGGCAGAACCACAGGAGCATGCTAGCAGGCAGGACTGGCCTCAGATCTCTAAGTGGTAGGCTGGGCCTCTTTAGTTGTGTTTAGGGAGATCCAATGTTCCTTTTCAGCTTTTCCCTACCCACAGAGAGTAGTGGGCTTTGGGATGGGCCTCTGAGTGTGGCCCTGAATAAAGGGGGCTGTGTTGCTTGGGGTGGAAGTGGGGTGGAAGTGGCTAACCAGTTTTCCCTACCCCATTATCTCCGGCAGAGATGCCAGCCATTGAGGGCATGAGGATGCACCTCCTGGAGGAGACAACAGTCCGGACAGAGTGGACCCGGGCTCCTGGTCCTGTGGATGCCTATGAAATTCAGTTCATTCCCACGGTGAGGGGGATGCCAAGCTCCAAGACGGGGCTGAGTGGGTAGGACTGCAAGGGGGTGCTCACCTCCTGCAGGAAGTTCTCAGTAGGTGCATTCAGGTGGCAGGGTTCCTGAAGCTGCTGTAAAAGCTTTCCTATCCTGCCGGACACCGCACTGTGGCCTATGCACTGCATCTCTGGCAAGCATTGGTCCCATGCATTTGGAACACCTCTGGTGACAGCTCATTCCTTCCTTAGGCTGTCCAGTCCATTGTTGGTTATCCCTGTTAGTCAATTCTTTTTGTTGTTGCTGAATCTGACCCCATTCTAACATCTGCTTATTGGTCTGGGCATTCACTAGCAGTTGGGATTTTTTTTTTTTTTTTTTTTGCTTTCCCTGTGTCCTACACCACAGGCCTTCAGGTATCTGGAGACAATAGCAATTACCTCACCCTTTATTCCCAGGCAAACCCCCCCTCCATTTCTTTACCTCTCTCCCCTAAGTCTTTGTACTCTGGATCCTTTACTTTCCAGTGCCTCCTGCTTTTTGAATATGCCCCCACCAAAAAAAAATGTGAGGGCAGAGAGGGGTTCACTGGCTAACCCTGGATTTGCTGAGCCTTTCTCAGAGTAGGCATATATTAACTTGTGGTCACCTTGTCAGCAATTTTGGTCAGATTTGGGTGTTTTAAAGTAGATTTTTTTTTTTTGAATTGGAGTCTTACTCTATCACCTGGGCTGGAGGGCAGTGGCACATTCCTGGCCACCACAGCCTCAACTTGCTGGGTTCAGATGATCCTTCCACCTCAGCCTTCCAAGTAGCTGGAACTACAGGCACCTGCCACCATGTCCAGCTAATTTTTTGATGTATTGTAGAGATGAGGTCTCTCCAAGTTGCCCAGGCTGGTCTTGAACCCTTGGCTCAGGCAGTCCTCTCACCTCGGCCTCCCAAAGTGCTGTTATTATAGGTGTGAGCCATTGTGCCTGGCTATAAGTAACTTTTAATGATAAAAGTCACATAGGCCCAGTGCAGAAAACTTAGGCAATACAGATAAACAAGGAAAAAGGAAGGAAGGAAAGAAGGAAGACAACATTCAACTATATACACTTTTTTAGCCTAAATATAGGCCTTTGCATTTGGCTCTGTTCAGTGTTATCTTTTTTGGTTTAGGCCAAGCTGTCCAGGCTGTTGCAATAATTTTGAGTCTGTGAACTTGTTCTCCCTCCTCCACATCATCAGTGCACTGCAAATCATTTTTTCTCTGTCTCCCTTCAACTTGCTCTTGAAACATTAGGGAAGCACCCTAAGGACAAAGCCTTGTGGTGTCTCATTAGGGACCTCCCTTTCTGCAGATTGGGCTTTTAGGATGTGGCTGCTTCCCTAGCTCTAAGTCATCTGACCATTCAACTCATGTTTTCTTATATCATCCCCAAAACCATGGGGTGTGGGCCATGTCACCCCATCTTCATCAGCTCAGCCAGAACTCTGAAAAAATAAATAAGTCTCTGGGCCCAAAGCCTTGGAAGGCATTAGGATAGAAGAGGACAGCCTAGAGACACTGTCTGTCATCATCACCCCACTTTGCCTGGTTTTACTGTTATACCCCTCAGGCCAGACCCCTACCATGTCCTGTCTCTCCTTACTCTCCAGCCAAAGTGGAGAAATCCCTTCTTTGCAGTGCAACCAAGATAGCTTGGATTTTTTCCTTCTTTTTAAACATTATTTTTTTGTTATAAAAATAATTTAATCACGAGACAAGAATTTGGCAACCAAAGAAAAGAAAAACAATTTTTGGCTGCTTCATACTAAAACAAGCACTGCTAACATTTTAAAGTGTTTCTCCCACTCTCTCCTTCTCTGTGTATATTATTTACATAGCTCTAATCTTGAAAGGGTGGGACTTTTAAAAGAAACTTTCCTAAGAAACTCCAGGGAAAGAAGAATTAAAATAAACACTTGAGATAAGAGGAGCTTTTAGGGCAGCTCTGAGTAAATAAATACAAGCCCATCCTGGGGTGTTGTCAAGGGTGCTGCTTTCCAGTCCAAGTCCTAGGTCTCCTCCCTTACCCAGAGCCAGGGTGGTGCCGAGCTGGCCTGTGCCATGCCTGGCCATGTTCTCAGCTCATCCTCTCTGCTCTGGGTATGGGTCTTAGTCACACCCGGGATCCTCTCTGAGCCTGGGTGTGGAAGACGCTCTTGTAAAATTGGTTCCCAAACACTGCTCTTAGGCCTGGACTACCAACCCCTAGACCATTCTTTCTGCTCCTCTGTAGCTGGCTCCTGGCATTGTACTTTTATCTCTGTCAAATTTCTGTTGGCATGGAGTATATTCAGTAGCTGTCTGTTATCTGGCCACTGCCATCTTCCTAGGAGCCTATCTTTACCTCACCCTCTCTCTCTTCTCAGAAGCATTTGTCTCTCAAAGCCCAAACTCTGCTATTTCTGGCTAAGGGACATATCTGGTTATTGGAATTGTTTTCAGAATGTAGAAGAAGAATGTTCCCTTCTCTCCCTGCATATGTGACATTGTTACTCTGACCCAGTGGTTTTCAAGTGTGTTCCCCTGGACCTGCAACTTCAGTGTTACTTGGGTGTTAGAAATGCAAATTGTCAGACTCCACCCCCAGATCTACTGAGTCAGAACCCAGTAATCTTTGTTGCAACAAGCACTCCAGGTGATTCTGATGTACCTTGAGCCTGAGGAGCACTCATTTGTGGAATGTTGCTATTTTGCAAAATTGCTACCTTCTGTACGAATGTGAGAGAAAGGATGAGGAAACTGAGGGAGGTGAGTCCCTGAATCAGAAAGAGGTTCGAGTATTCCTTGTCTGAGTGTATTCTGCGTCCTGGAAACCCGGGCTATGCCAGGTGTTCACTGGAACACAAAACCTCGCAGCCTCAGAAAAGTTTTTCCTTGGGTCTAATCTAAAATGGTGGCCTGTAGTCCCAGTTACTTGGGAAGCTAAGGCAGGAAGATTGCTTGAGGCCAGGAGGAAGTTTGAGGCCGCAGTGAGCTATGATTGCACCACTACACTCTAGCCTTGGTAACAAAGTAAGACCCTTTAAAAAAAAAAAAAAAGAAAGAAAGAAAAGACAAGGAAAAAATAAAATGGTAACAAGGGAGATGAGGGTGAGGTAAGCTCCAGGGACTAGCCAAAGTGGAGTCCTCCATCTGGAACCACAAGGCTGATATTAAGAATAAGGTGAAAAACTTGCCAAGGACAAAATCAGTGAAGCAGCCAAGCTTTACCAAGAGGCAGAGCCAGCTGCCAGCATCTGGCTAGACAGTCTACCTCAGACCAGTGAGATGGTGCTGGGAGATATGGGTTGGGTTGATGGACTTCCAGGATACTGTTCCAAAATTGATCTCAGAAGGAACCAAGAGATGTCTGAAGGGAGAAAAACTCTGGGGGATAGGCTTGTTGCACGGAAAGAACAAGTCATTTTCAGGAAGCATCCAAGGTGTGTGGGGGATGTTGGGGGTGGAGGATAAGGGGTGGGGAGGGGAGACAGAGGGAGGATGAACAACTACATTCTGGGAAGAAAGGGTAAGGATTTTATGGGTTATGAGGTGAGGCCAACCCAAGGTTTCCTAGGTTGGATCTTAGGGCAGGGTGAGTAGAAGAGGAATGGGGTCCTGTGTTCCCAGGATACCTTTTCAGTCCAGAAAACTAACAAAGCTTTATTTCATCCTCAACCCAGAAATCTCTACGTGTCCTTCTCATCTGGTTTTATACTTTGGTATTTACTATGTTGATTTCTCCACAGTTCTTTTGGTTTAGAAGAGTACCTTTTGAAATTTCCAATCCTACTTGGCTGAATGGAGGTGTCCCCATCACAGCCAACATAGCTAAGCAGAACAGAGCGTCCTTAGCGGCTGTCCTAGCTGGACAGTCCAGCAAAGTGTGGGGCTGTTAGAATGATCACAGATGTCCAGTTCTTCTGCTTCCCCAGTGGCTGGCACTCCAGGATACACTGCCTGGAGTAGGGGCCCAGCAGATGTTCTTCTGGGCCACCACACAGAATCACAATATCTTAAATGTATTCTTGGAGGAGGATTGTTTTTTTCACAGGCATTTGCTATACATAGAGATTTATGTATATGTCTAATAAAATTTAGATGTGGCCATACATTTAACTACTAGAATATGAGCTACCTGAGGACAGGGACTGCATCTTTTTTGTCTCCAATGCCCAGCATAATGCCAGGCTACATAATCAGCAATCAGGAAACATATTTATGGAACTTTGCATAGGTGGGCCTTGCTTTAAGGAGCCTACAAGCCTACTAAAGAGAAGGAAAAGTCCCTAAAGGGCAGTGTTGTTCAGGCTGAAACAGATGTTTTAAGGAAGAAGTGAGATTTGAAGGGACATCCCTGATCTCTTTCATTTATTCTGAGAGAAATGAGCTTAGGAGAAGCCCCTTTGTGCCCAGGTTGTCAGGGTTGCCAAAGGAAAGCCAGAGGGAAAGTCTGGTGTGAGTTGGGTGGAAGTCTGGTAGATGAACAGGGGGAGGTCCATGAAATGGGACTTTGGAGTCACACTGCCAGGACTTAAATCCCTGCTGCTTTCTTGATGTTGGTGACCTTGGCAAGATACTTGTCCTTCTGTGTTTCAGTTTCCTCATCTGTAAGATGGGACTACTAGGACCTGTCTCATAGAGTTGTTGTGAGAATTAAGTGATTCATCTCTGTAAATTGCTTAGAACAGTGGCAGGCATGGAGTCAATGTACTAGGCATGCTTGCTGTTACTGCCCATGCTCCCAGCTTGTATAGGGCCAAGTTCTACACCGTCCCATGTTGACACAGCTTGGAATTGGCGAAAGAAGAGATAAGGAAGATCAAGCAGCAGGGGCGAGAATGCCAGCCCCTGAGCTACCTGGTGCTTTCTCTCACAGACAGAGGGGGCAAGCCCCCCATTCACAGCACGGGTGCCCAGTTCTGCCTCAGCCTATGACCAGAGAGGACTGGCCCCCGGCCAGGAGTACCAGGTCACTGTCCGTGCTCTTCGAGGGACCAGTTGGGGCCCGCCTACCTCCAAGACCATCACCACCAGTGAGAGCTGGGGCTATGGGGGGTGGAATTCTGGGTGGAGATCTGGACTAGAGATGGAATGTCCTCTAGGGGAGGGGCTGGGTGGGGATTAGGCACTTGGAAGGAAAGTTGATGTCTAGGGCCCACCTGAGCCCTCCTCTCTCTAACTCTCTAACCCGGCTAGTGATCGATGGTCCCCAAGACCTCCGAGTGGTGGCTGTGACACCGACCACACTGGAGCTCAGCTGGCTGCGTCCCCAGGCCGAGGTGGACCGATTTGTGGTGTCCTACGTCAGTGCTGGCAACCAGAGAGTGCGGCTGGAAGTGCCCCCTGAAGCAGACGGGACACTGCTGACTGACCTAATGCCAGGCGTGGAATATGTGGTGACTGTCACAGCAGAGCGGGGTCGGGCAGTCAGCTACCCGGCTTCTGTCAGGGCCAACACAGGTATGGCTGGCCAGAGGTTAGGGAAGGGTCTTGGTTTCCAAGACTTGGAGCCCTTTCCTCAGAAGCCCAGGCCTAAGGTTTACAGGCTCCTCTAAATGCATTTTGCAGGGTGTGTGGCAGTCCCAAAACACCTGCTGAGAGCCTTGCTCTGTCCTGAGAACACTGGGGAAACAGACCCCTCTGGTGCTTGGAGTCCTATAGGAAGGCTGCAGGTTAGGCTATGGGAGGAACTGCCCAGGGAGAGAAGCAGTGAATAGGAGATGCTGTCTGATCCACCCAGATAAGGAAAGTTCTTATCTAAATTTAGGTACAGGGACAGGCCTTGTGCTGACAGAACTTGTGGGGACTCGAATTAGGCAAGATCAGAGATCATCAGACCTGTTGACTTTAGGATTGGGATTGCTAGGAGTTGGATCCACAGCAGTTATTTTCCACTAACCCTTAATGTTTCTTAACAGATGCCTGCATCTTTCTTTCTTTCTTTTTTTTTGTCCTGTGACAAGGGGACGCCCACCTCGCTGTAGCTCACATTCTCTCCCCCACTCCCCTTTCTCTCCTTTAAATACAGGGCCCCACCCGCTGGCGTGTGTCTTCTTTCCAGGGCACCAACAGTGGTGGACTTGGAGGGGGGTAGGGGAGCTTCTGGGACACTGACTCATTTCTCTCGGTTCTCTTTCCAGGTGGGGCTGGGGCACAGGAAAGAGGCCTCTGGCTCTGGTGGGAGGGATGGAGGGAGGGGCTGCCGTGGGGAGGAGTGCAGTGGGGAGCTGCCACTGACCTGTTCTCCCCT